AATTATAAATTTTAATATAGAGAGAAAATTTCAATTTTCACTATATTTTATTAGTAAATTTAGCCCCTGAGTCATTATTTTTGATTACCACTTAAGTAGTTTTTTATTATATAAAAGCAAAATAAAAATATTTAATAATAAAATATATTTCAGTTTTATAATTATATCTGAATAATTAATTATATTTATTTTATATTTTGATTTATTTTAATAATTTTTTTTAGTTTTTTAGTTATATTTTTAATTATTTTAATAACTTTTTTTATGATTTTTATTTCTTAATATTAAAAGTATTATAATAACTTTGTATTATATATTACTTTATTATTTACTTATAAAATATATATTTATTTAATTTATTTCTTTTATTTTCTTTATTTTTCTTTCATATTTATTAATATTATTCTTTATTTTTTATTTATATATTTTTTTAATATATTATAATTTTTCTATTAGCTTAATATAGAATTTTAAATATTTTTCTTTTTATAATTTAATATCTTAACAATTTTATTTATCTGATTAATTATATAAATAATAAAATACCAAAATATTATTAAAAAGATATGATATAAAATATGAGTAGATAAAGATAAAAACTAATAAAATAATAATTAATAAAATTCATATTATAATATAATGAAAAATATGAATTTTACTAATTATAATTAGTATAATATTCAAGAATTGCATTATTTTTATTATTACTATATTAATATTATAAAAAAGATTATCTTACTAATATTAAATACCGGTAAAATTAATTAATAAAATTATAAAATGATTATAATTTACCAATCAAATTTGTAATCTATTGATAACTCAAAAGTTTACTATAAATAATTAGCTTTTAATCTCTATATAAAAAGATTCAGTGATAAATTTACATATAGCTTATTTCTAATATTACTAGTATTAAATATGATTTTTTCAAATAATTTAAAAATAAATTCTAATAATTGAATTTCTATTTAAACTTAATATATTAAATATGATAGTAATTAGATATAATAATGATAGTTTCTGAAATATTTTAGAATCTACTTATTATACATTTATACAGAAATTAATAAAAATTGAGTATCCTGAAATATAAACTGCGGAAGTTATCTTGATCACAAATTTTATTTATAAGTTTGCACTTGGACTGAGACTTTGAATTATCTTCTCGTCTCGAAGAAGTTGCTTGTAGAAAATAAGTAGCATCTATTCGCGCGTGAAAATGAATATACTTAATTACTATTGAGAGTAAGTTTAAGTTTTCTATATTAGTTTTCAAAATTTACGAAAACTACAACCTTTATTGAGCACGATAAATAGACTGAATGACCATAATAAAATTTTTATTTGAAACACAGACTTGAGCTATAAATTTACAGAATTGTTTAAAATCACAAACTATTTTGGCTCTAAAAATATTTATTTTTACCGCTATGAAGAGATGTTAATCAAAAATCGATTTGTTAGTCATTATTAGAGATAATTTAGAGAAAAATTGCACTAAGTTAAAGGACAAATAATATATTGAACAAAATTTGAGAGGTTCTAATTGAAGCATCTCTTCTTTGCAAATATGAAATTTTTAAATTTTTTAATAAAATTTCGAAGAAATATTATTGACAAGTCCTTCTAACAAATCTTTTGAAACAAATAATTCTATACGAATAAAAGATAAATAAATTAAATGCATATCTAAGAAAATAAAATTGCGATTTGTGCTTTTGCAAAATAGTCTCCTTGTTTACTTGCACTTTTATAGCACCTTAATGCTTTATCAATCGCTTTAGGAGTACCAATTCCATGCTCATAACATCGACCTAGCGAAAAAACGGCATCAGGATTTTCGGAATTCGCCGATTTTAAATAGCACTTGAATGCCTTATTCAGATTTTTTTCGGTTCCATCACCAGACTCGAAACGATATCCGATCTCACATTGAGCTTTTGTATGGCCAGCCATCGCAGCTTTGAAATACCATTCGAATGCTTGTTTTGAATCCTTGATCGTACCCATACCCTCCTCATAGCATATTGCAAGATTATATTGTGCCATGGTATACCCACCTATTGCAGACTGGAGATAACACTCAAAAGCTTTGTTCTCATCTCTTTCTGTTCCCACACCAGAATTATAGCATACACCAAGGTTATTTTGAGCACCAATATGTCCATTTCTTGCTGCTTTTAGATTCCATTGAAACGCTTGGTCTGCATCTTTCTCAGTCCCTTCGCCAGATTCGTAGCATAATGCAAGATTATATTGTGATCTGATGTTACCGCCTTTCGCCGATTTGAGATAATGTTCAAACGCCTTTTTATTGTCACCAGTACAGCCAATTGAATGATCGTAAAAGTATCCCAACGTAGTCATTGCAGATAAATTGCCATTTTCTGCTGACCGGAAGCACCAATAGAAAGCTTTGTCAAAATTTTTGATTGTTCCAACGCCATCATAGTAACATAATCCAAGTAGATGTTGTGCATAGGCATCGTTTAGATCAGCAGATATTTGGTAATCCTCGAACGCACGCTTGAAATCTTGGTCAAGTAAGATTCCATGGTTGTAAAGAAATCCTAATAATGTTCTATATTGTGTGTTCTCATGTGAACTTTGTATAATGCTTTTGATTTTTGAAAAATCAAATTTTTGATCAACAATGTATTGTTGAAGTCGTATAGGAATCCGACTGATACTATCACAAGAATCAAATAAATCTATGAAGAACCTTAAGAATTCATCAATTTCTATAAATTTACAAATTTGATGATTAGACAAATAATTAAAAATCTGTTTAAGGTAAATGTTTAAAATACCTTTAGCAATATTTTTTGTATCCATTGTAAAAATGGTTTCTCTCCAAGTAAGCTAGTAGAATCGAGATTTATTAAGGTAACGGTAACGTTTCGTAGCTGTTTGTTAACTTAAATAGGAAGTGAATAACTTATTTAGCTACTACCCATACTTGTAACGTCAAATAACGAATATATATCTACCAATCATATCTCTTAAATATTGCAATTGTTGTTGATCATTTATTCATATGTTCATGCACACAACAGAAACTCAGGGTCGCATAACGATAAAATCAAGGACGATCGTAAAAAGTTTTACATGTACATGTATAGCAATATGTAATAACAACGTTAAAATTGAATTTGCATACATGTACTTTGTATGCTAACAAAAAGATATTTGTTTTTGAATTGTGTATACATATGAGTCGCAAAAAAAGATCCTAGTGACGAAAATGTCACATTGTAAAATGCTCAAGGAAGCAGATATGTGCTGCAAAATTTGCATGTGTCCTTGGAGGTTAGTTACAAGTGTCAAGAATTGTATCAAGTGCCGTATTTTTTAAGTTAACCAATAATACCAAGTTGTTTGCAAAAGTACAATGTTGATCAATATCACCCAAAAATTCATTAAATAAGGAAGATGTTAAAACGTCCACTTGCTGCTGAAGTCTCGTCTAATTACATACTCCAAAGTATCCTGATATAATCTTTCAAGAAATGATATATCCATTCCCATATTGAAGAGCTAGCGATTAATAATAAATCAAATCGGGTTAAAAAACACCAAAGAAGATTGATAGCATGTTCTTTGGGCTAAATACATATTATAAATGGATACGATTTAGTTCATGTATGATTGATTAGATTAATTTATCCAATGGTTACGATTTCTGAAGAAGGCATTATAACAGGATAATGCACTAATGTACAGTATAACCTACAAAACAGGTTGCAAAGGAGCTTAATGAAAAATGTGTGAAAAGCTAGATTCATAAGAACAGAATCTAACTTGGATTTGTTGTGTCGGTATGGAATATCATCAATTTTATAGAATCAATACTAGAAAATTTTTTAGCAATAGTAGAATATATTTCTTTGTTTAATTTTATCTGATCAATCCCTTAAACGTTAAATATTGGTAGAATTTTCCGAGATCGACAAAACCTGGTGCAGATTTCACCATTAAGCATAATTTAGAAATCTAGTATATAAGCGTGATTTTAATTTATTGCTATTCCGAACTACACTAGTTGGCTATAAAAATACACACACCAAATAAATACTTTTTGATTGAGAAACAAAGAACTCTTATGCAAAAGTAAAATGCATTCCATGTTTCAACACAATCGATTTAGAAGTTCGGATACTTTCCAAGTTTCTTAGGCATCTTTGCGACGACATATAACAAAATCAAGTCGTGCTGTTGTGCCACAATTTTCGCCTCTCCTAAATTTTCGCGACACAAAGTTGGGCAGATGCTATGCCAGGTTTTGCCGATTTAAACTCCTTCCACAGCTGTTCTGACACTCATCGAATTCTGATACAGTATCTTATCACGTTGAGCCCAGATAATAACCGTTCTTTGCTGCTTTAGAATTCTTTGTCATAGATTCTTATTGTTGTTGTCTCGAAGCCACTCTCATAGCGTTTTTCCAGGGAAATACCGTGTTTGTAAATGATGCCTAAAATGTGCATTTCTGGTCTTATTCATGTTGCCAGGTTCGGCACACACAAATCAAATCATATTTCGGATTAGTTATATTCGGCGACGGGTAGTGACCTTTTTCTAGGATGATTGATTTTATTAAATGCCTTAATAAAAAACAAGAAATTACATATCGAGAAACATAATACAAAATATAGGCATGTATCATAGTCCTTGGCATTAATACATCAACTAATGCATTGAGAACCCAAAAAAGAGCGAAACAAGAACCAATTGCATGTTCAAACAATACAGCCCAAATATCTTGAGACTTTAACATGTGCTTGCTTCTTCAAAGTAATATACGGCGCGCGCATAACACTTACACACGTTCTCATATAAACAATTTGCACAACTTTTAACATAAATATGTTTACTCGCACATGTACAACTCGAGAAAACGGTATGCACGATCATTATTCTTCAATCATGCATGAAAGGTTGACGAAAAATTAAAACGGACAATTAAGCAATGGTCTGATGGAAAATTTGTTGGCAGAGCTCAGTGTGGTTTGCCGATTGATTAATTTTTTCGGTGTCCAGGTGGTGGTAGATAATGCAACCTTCGTGTCCCTCATGCGAGAAAAATGTGTGCGAGTACGTTGCATGCATCCTTTTCTCCATCTTGAGCGAAAATTCAGGGATTGTTCTCTTTCGCTCGCATACTGCGCGCCTTTTTATTTGTTCATTTATTGTTTTGAAAGTGGTCAGTTCTGTCAGCGTAATCTAATCTAAATCAGTCTGTTTAAGGGTCTCATTTTCTGCTGTTCTCGCCATATGCGTAAATGAATATTTAAATTTGCTTCGTTACATTTCGCCTGCTTTTGTTGCTTCGCCTAGATCAGGTTAATGCGCAGGATTTTGACGCCAGCACGAGATTCATCCAATCAGCGGAAAAAATCGATCATCATCTTTGATGCACATATAATCATAGTGCATTCATGGACAGGAAACACGTCGAACCTTAATTAGATCGATCGTGCCCACGTCAATGCGTTCATGTGTAAAGAAATCCATCACGAAGCAAAAAGCTCAGGCGAATCATTTGGTAAGCTTTACTGTATATTCATAGGGTTCCGATTCTTTTATTTTTGAAAATGATGATGATGATGAATTAATGAATGCAAAAATGAATGTGATGAAGTGATTAAGGTAAAAAAAAAATGAAGATTATTATTACAATTAATTATCAAAAAAGAAGGTTGTATATTACACGAAAAAAATCCATTATTTACTATTACTAATAACAAATTTGCTGATTAATATAATTAATACTAAAACAAAAAATTAAAAACTTGGAATATGATACGCATTACAATACTGAACATGGTCAAGTTTACATAATGACTTGAATCTGCTTAATAATTCCTCATCACATTTCAACAACGTAAAGTCGTCTATCCCAATAATCAGATCCTTGGACGCATGCTCACTCATAGCATAATCCGCCAAAAGCTGAATATTTTCGTTCGGTATTCCTTTGAATTGATGTAACCCAATCTTTCGTAAAGGTCGCCCGCAATCATGTAAAAAATTTGATAATGACTTTGGTGTCATAGGAATGTATAGATTTACGTGACGCACCGAATGAGGGAAACCCTCCATCAGAGCAAGCAGTAGTTCATCGCAATTAGTATGCTCGTCTTCGACCCGCAGTGAAAAATAGGAAAGTTGATCACACCGTGAAAGTACGTGCTGTATAGCGGTGGTGAGATTTGGGTCATTCGTGTCGGCTACGACGTCCAAATGTGTGAAGTTTGGACAAGAAGTCGCGACCGCGTGTAATAATTCCGGATGTATTTTTGTCTGTAAGAGTTGCAGTTCTCGTAAATGAGGACCTACTCTTTGTATTAGCGCAATTAAATGAGTTTTGTTTCCATAAGTGAGATTATCTCGAAAATGAAGTTTCCGTAGACGAAATGGATTACGTAAAAGTGGAATCCAAAATTCGTCAGGAAATTCTTCGCATTCATCGAAAACTAAAGTGTCCAAATTTAAACATTTCGATATCGGTCCAAGCGACATATTAGAAAGATTACTATTCTTGAATTCCATACTGGATAATGTGTTTGCTTGACTTGCAAGCGCTGATATGGCAGACATTTGCATTGAAGAAATATCATCGAATGTAACATGTCGAAGTCCTTTTTGAAGTCTTATAAGATCAGCCACTTGTCTTTCGAAGCTGAACGAACAATTCGTGAAGCACACTTCTAACGACTGAATATGTCGACATTCAACTTTCATCGCTGATAATAAATATGAAACATGCTCGGCATCTAGTTCATCAAGTTCATCAAAGTTCACTTGAATATAAACACGCTCAAGCCTTCGTAATGCAGCTGCAGTTCCATTAAATGTCGTGAAATCAGGAAGACTCTGAGTGCTGACTGCTGCATCTCGTTTCGTCAGCCAAAAACTAGTCAACACTGCCGAACGAGTAAAAATCAACTTTGTCAAGATTGTGGTGACAGCAGCTATTCGTTGATTATCATTGATTAAATCGGGTATTGAAGTAGTGTTCTCGGTTGGTAAATAAAAGTTGTAATACCAATTAGAAACTTTAATGTCCAACGATCGAAAATCAAATTCTCGTATCCATTTTACATATTCAAAGAATGGTTTTCGTCGTTTTCCCAATTTTATGCCAGCTTCTTGTAATTCCTCACATTCATATATATCAAGGCAAGCGAGTAATGATTCGATAAAGTGTCCACTGGAATTTTCTCGTACGCATCCAAATCTCAACGGACAACTCCACAACACTGGAACCACCTGACGACACCAAGCTCTGCTCACTTGTAGACAAGCGAATAACGTACGACTATCCCCTTGTAGATTTGCTACGATCTCAGACTGAGTTTCCGGTGGTAGCTGAGCTATTCCTTCTTTCTCCATTAATCTATTATTGCTGATAATTGATTGATTTATTATTTGATTCGACACTAAAGAGTTGCAGCGCTCAAAGAGTAAAAAAAAAAAAACAAAGTTTGTGTATTGTGAGTTTTTTACGATAGGAGATATATATATACCGATTTTTATATATTTATATTTATATAATCCATATCATATTACATGTATATAAGTATGATGGGTGACAACGCGCGCATAAAAATACAATTCTCTTTCAATTTAGTCTTTCAATGTGCGTTAATGTACTACCAAAATAAAAATAAATAAAATGGAATGTTGGGAACAATAGAGCGTTGATGTTCATTATCATCTTTTTCGATAGAAAATCATTATTCAGGGGAAAATATAACATACCGTTGATTGGCTATTGGTGGTGGATCGGGTTTATCGATCATGCGTCACTTATAAACTTCTAATACATAATATATTCGAATTTCCTCTATTCTCTCATATAAACACAACCGACACAACTATTTCACTTGTGATATTAATAAAACAATAACATACTGATAAATATATACGAATATACGAATACGTATCGTTATCCCGTGAGTCTATTTTCTCTAATACGATGAATTAATATTTCTGATAATGGGAAATTAAATCAAATTCTAATAATAATGATATCATCATGTTTGATAATAATATACCTGCGCCGATTTATTTTAAGCTTATTCGTGATGGATAAAACGTTTATCAAGAAAAAAGATAACTTTATTTATTATTCACATAACATACATTAGAAAAGATTGTGATAAAACTAAGATTACGACGATGATACGATATAAAGGAATATGATCCTCCATTGTCTGTATCGCCTCACGTATGATTTGTTGAACTATGGTACAAACATAACGTATTAGCTGTAACAATAAAATTGTTGTCTTTTTTTCTTTGTAGCGGTAATATCGGTTTTCTCGTGCCTGTTCTCTATTTCAATCATCAAAAGAATAATAAGGATAGAGCGAAACTGCAAAAGATTTAGCGAAAAATTGACTTCTCTATGATCGTCAGACAATACTCGAAAGCTGGAGATTATTATTACACTATATACACACGTATTATTGTGAACCGTAGTAATGTTAGTAAGTGTTTGTTGTTTTCCATAAAGAAAGAGAACTGCAATTGTTGTTCAGTTGAACAATAGTTATTAACGTAAGGGAAGAATCGTTGGAAAAAAGATTGTCATCGTTAAAAATGCATTGGATATATAGCTTTTGTGTTTAGCCATCTAAAGATTAACGTTAATAAAATCAACAAAAATTTTTTTCTTGGATGACGTAAGTTCCCCCTCAATTGATACCTCTCTTATTAAACGCACGCTTCCTTTTTCAAATGACAAACATTCCTTTTATTGCCAATTCAGTTTATCGTCATACACGCACACAACACAAGGTCACATAAACATTTTCCCTTATTGTTACTTATTTTACCTTCACCACGTTCAAGCTTAAATTCGTCCGCGTCTTCTTTATTCCTATTCTATTAAATAACGATATCAGTTCTCAATTGTTTCGATTCACCATACCAACAATATGACCAAATAACGCATGATTTTTTTAATAATATCTTTATTTTGTTAACGTCACACTTTTGTGTTGTAGTTGTTTTTTGCTTTTCTAGTTGTTGACCTGTTTCAGAAGAATAAAGTTTAGAAAACACTGACTTTTTCAATATTTTATTTGGACACGTTGTTCGAAAATTAATCACATTCTATTTGATTTTTGTGCGACAAAACGCACATATTTAATATCGATATAATATCCGAGCGAATACAACACACAAATAGAAAAAACTTACCATGCATAGATATACAATGATAGAATGACAAATATTGTGTGATGGAGTTCCTTCAACATTCACCGATTTTTCCCAAATTGGTACACACAATAGTGATAGTGTCGCAGCTTCCCCCATATCGATATCGAATATAAAACATTTGTAATCACCCGCTAATACTAATGTAATTTATCATTATCGTTATGTTTTAACGTCGTCCTAATGAATGAAATATTTAACTTCCGAAGCTATTATTAATTAATTTAAGATTATCTTTTATCTAAAAAGATCATTACGTAACTTTACTTTTTAATTTAACACAGAAATTGATTGTTATTTCTATAATAAAACACCCCCACATAATTGCCAAAGATGGAATATAAAATTTTGAATACATGTATTCATGATCGTAATAAAAGGTTTGATTATCAATAAAACCAATGATTCTAGTTAAAAGAATATGCAAAATTTAATTCTTTTCTCGGTTAGAAGAACTTTCAATGTTATTATCTCGCAGAAGGAGAACTTGAATCACTTTATAAAAAATTCGTTTATACGAATGAGAGCATAGAGAACGCAAAATTGGTTAAAGTACAAGACTATTTTAATAGGGAAAGATCTATCGTGTTACGTTAAATTATCAAAAAAACCAATATAATAACATAACGGTATAATTAAGCCTAACGATAGAAAATATCTAAATAAGCCTTACCATACTCGTCCACCATTTTCTAAGGGTGGAAGTTTAGCAACAATAAAGAATATTGATCAAGTGATCGGAGATTATTCACCAAACTGGTAAAAAGATACACGGAAATTCACCTGATCGAACAGATCTCCTTAAATGGATAAAATCGTAACGTAATACATGCGCTTAGTAACGGGGGGGTAGCAAACTTTATCTTTTTTAGTTTAATTCACTATTTCGGTTGACAAGATTGTTTTTTTCGGAATCAGTTCTTGTAAAAGGCCGCAATTCGATAGATATCTGCTTAAATGAAATTTGTCATAATTGAATAATCAATCTATTTGTTTACTAGAATTCAGAAAAATAATCGTCTCATGGTTTCCACAATATTATGAAACGCTTCATTGTATCCACACGGAAAATAATAACGGAAAAATTTTTATCATTCCGAAATGAATCTTCAGCGGAATTTGATAGTGATACAGAGTCGATCATGAAGTGAATCAATGAGTTAAAAAATGTTCAGCTAAATTGATTGTATTATATATGCTACTATAAAATTGATGTCTTATGATTACCTGCATTATACACACCCCCACAATATATTACCGGAAATTTCAAAAATGAAACTATCATTTTGGAACCCAATTTCTTGTAATCTAGTGATCTCATTTAAATAAAGATATTATCATAAGATTCGTGGAGTCGCGACAAATTTAATAGAGTATTTTCATTTAAATTGGATCATTGAATTTTGAGATATTGGATTTCAAAGTGGCCGATTCGTTTTTAGGATTTCCGGTAATATATTGTAGGGGTGTGTATATCTACAAAAGAAAAAGATAAAATATGAATCTAGACAACTATACAGAACTATATAACTATCTCAACACGTTAACAATACCTGATAAATTCTCAAAAGAAAAATAGAAATAGCTGCTGGCAGAATTAAAGAAATATTTTATACAAAATCATAAACTATATAAAAGAAATAAACAGGATGTTAATCATCCATTATTAGTTATAAAATCAACAAAAATAGAGTCAGTCCTTTATAATAATCATTCAAATATTACTTTTGGACACTTTGGAATTAAAACTACTTATAATCAAATAATGAGAAATTATTATTAATTTTAGATATATAGAGATATTGACATATATATTAAAGCCTGTGATATATATTAATAAAAAGGATGATTATGCAAAAATAATAAGATGATATCTATTCAAGTTAATGCACCTTTTGAAAAGATTAAAATTGATTTGGTAGGATCTCTTCTAGTGACCAGTAATAGAAATTACTATATTATAGTTGCTATTAATTATCTAACCAAATAGACAGAAGCAAGATCAATCACTGATACTTTCGCAAGTACAATTATTTCTTTTCTTTATGAAGATATAGTAATGAGACATGAATTTCCAAAAAAATACTTAGCGATAGAGAAATTACATTCATCAATGAAATAATTAAAGAACTATTAGACAAATATCAAATTAAATACAGACTTTCTGTATTTTATCATTCTTAAACTAATAGATTAGTTAAGAGATTAAACCAGACTTTGTGTATTTCATTATTAAAGTATGTTTAACTTTATAAGAAAGATTGGAATTATTATCTACTTTCAGTTCTATTCATCTACAGGATAATGAAGTAAAGTATGACTTTATTTGAACCTTTTAAATTAGTATATGATCAACAAGTAATTATACCATTAGATATTAAATTAAAAGATTTTGATAATCTTACTTTTGAAGAAGCTCTTGTCAAAAGAATATGTGAACTAATTGATAAATTGAAAATTACATGAAAACTAGTCCTCAGTAATATTCAAGAAGAACAATCAAAACAAAAAGAATGATATGACAAGAAATAAAAGTTAACAGTTTTTCAAATAGAACAGAAAGTATTAATAAGATGAATAGAAATTTAATATTAGTATCATGATAAGTTTGGTAAAAAATAGAAAGGACCATTTTATATTCATGAAACATATAATAAAGGAGCATATAAACTTAGAAATGAAGATGAAAAAGTTTTGAAGAATCCATATAATAGTAATCATTTGAAATTATATGTCAAGTTTAATAATCTAAAACTAATAATTATTATTAATAATAATTAAAAGATTTACAGAGTAAATCTCTTAAAGCTAGAGATCCTGTAACCAATTACTTATTTATATAGTACAGTAGATGTAGTATAGCATATGGCGCAGCTATAGCATATAACATAGTAATCACTAATTATTACTAAATCAGGTGAATAAGTAATTTATATTAATTAATCTTATTTATAATTAATTCTATTTTTAATTTATATTATTACCTATATTTAGTTTTATTATTTTATTAAATTAGCTATGTGTGTCATACTTAATTTATAGTTTTATTAAATTAATAATTTTCTAATTAATTATTATTAATTTTCTTTCTTTTC